ACATACGTACATACGTACATACATAGCCGAAACAACAGGTTGGCTGAAGCTTACAGATGCTTTGGTGATGTTGAACCTCCGCATAGTCTTTGACCCGTAGCTTTGGACGGCAAAGCTTGGGCTCATTCAAGTCTTGTAAACTGACCGTTTGGAAAGGCCGCTCACGAGTGATCTCACTTGCGCACTTGCTCTGTCGCCCATGATTCCTTTCGCAACCACAATACTTAGAGGCCTACAGAAAGCCGCTCGTAGTTTCCAAATGCAAGGTTGCCCGAATCCACCCGTGCGCGAGAATGACCTGTGACTCCTGCCACAAGCAAAAACCAGCCCGAGTTCTGCGTCTCAAGGCCCAGCAGAGTGCTCTGCTTCGCGCAGAAGCCTACTGAAAAGCTGCAAGCTGGCCAGCCTGGCCCAGCGTCTTCGTCAGCGAAGTCTGTGGATTGGAGGGCATCTCAGCGTGCACAAGCATCGGAATCGAAGCTGCTGCGGCGAGGCAGCTGCTATGTGCCGGACCGTTTGGCTTGCCATGTAGAGGGCCATATGGGCACTCTCGTGCAGCTCAGACGGGACGTGTGAGACCAGGTACCTCGACGCGAGATGCCACGCGAAGTGCCTCTGTTCGCTTCGAGGCTTCGACGCTTCCTGGATGCCTGGGACCCGGGCTGCCCAGGGTTTGACGCTGTGCCACGGACGGGCAAAGCGGCCGTCAAGTCCTTGCGAGGCTCTTAAGAGCAAAAGGAGCGAGTGGCAATTGAGGGTTCAAGGGTGGTCGCAACCTGATCGGCAGAAGGCCCACAGTCGGGGAAGGGCAGCGTCGAGCCTTGGCTCGCGACTGTCCTTGAAGCCTGAAAAGAGTCTACTGAGCTACTCTTGGCACCCTCGAGCCCGAGACAAGTGCTTGCGGAGCTTGGCAAAGACGGCGGAAAGGGCTTCTGCTGCATCTGCCTTATCACACGCTTTTTCGCAGACTTGAGGAACCCTGAGGAACCCTCTGTCCGGCTCTCTCTGCTTGCCAAGGTGCTGGAGCAGCTGCCTCATTTCACAGTTCTTGATACGAAAGAATACAGGTAGACAGTACTGCATGCAACTGCGAGGCTGTTGAGCTGCGAGCAGCCTGTGCAACAGTCGAGGTTCATCAACCACCGAACTTCTCCAAGCGAGCAACATGTCATACTGGCCACCTATGCCTTTGTTCAGACTGAGATCCTGGAACCCGGACGTAGTCAACAGGAAACGGCAGCGAATCGAGAATTTTGTTGGCTTGTCAGTTCATTCAACCCGACCAGTCCTGCAGCACCAATCCTGTTACACTCTGCAGAATCCCAGCCGAGCTGGAGCGGGCCCGGCGCGCACTCATCACCAGCGATCACACATGACGTCGCTGCCCCGACGACCCCACACACTTGCACCGATAAGATCAGCGATACTACGGCATCAAGCCTGGGAACCCGCATCACAGTTTCACGTGGGCTCTGGTGGCCTTCCGTCAGCGACGTCGACTCTTCTTGAAGCACCACTGTTGACGACATATTTGAAGGGTCGGCTGGTGAATCTCGAAGCGCGTTATTCCGCATGCTGGCTGCCCCCAGGCTATGAGAAGTGCATTAACAAGTAAGGCATTAACAAGTAAAGCAGGAACGCTACAACAAGCGCTGGGCTGATGCTTCAGACTACTCGTAGGGTACGATTTGCTTCTGTTTGCAGCCTTAAGTATGGCGACGATCACCATTCGGTCCGACTCGTCACAGGCTGACAACCGACAGCACACAGCCCACTGTGCATCTCCCCGATCCGTAAATCATGGCAGTTAGGCTGCAGCTGCTGAGCTTGGATGACTTGAAGCTGTGGCGACCTGAGGGAATCGGAGGGATTGCCGAGGTCAAACGTCGAAGGTCTGGGAGCCATCATGTAAAGTTAGGTCGCTGCATGCCCGATTCATTGTCCTGCGACCGGGGATCTTTGGACCTGCGCGAATGATGCGGATACAACTGTCAAATTCTTGGGACGTTTGTGGAGCTTCCGCTGACACTTGGCAGCAGGCACGATGCCCTGGGCTCGCATGGGGGGACGCCGCTCCTTTTCCCGAGCTGGTGCAGAGCACACGTCACCCCTCTTCACGGCATGTCACGGCTTCCTAGCCGTCCTAGCCCATCCCCCGCCTCGCGCTGCTGCATGCGCCTTCGCCTTATCTCCTCAAGCCGACGGGTAAGCAGAAACTGTCAGCTCAAGATTTCGGAGCAAGGAGTCGCGGATCCTTGGTAATACTGTTGGGATATTCAGTCACGTAGATGAATAGTTCATGAAGTCTTTCTTCGAGTGCCCGCTTCAGTTCCTCATACCCCAACATGCAAGACATATGACATAAGATTGAGCGGGGCCTGAGTTAAAGGAAACTACAGGTGGGAGCTTTGGGTATATAAAGCTTCCATACGGCTTCTATAAGGTATATCGACCTTCTACAAGGCTCCTATAAATAACGGTAACTACCCACCTGAAAAATGTCCCAGACCTAGGCTGAGAGGCAACCGCTGGAAAGAACAGAGACGTCGCCTAACTGTGGTGTTGTTGTAGCCACTTCGTTACGGTTCCCCTAAAGCGTCGGGCAGCAGCTAGCGCTCCTCCTCATGCCGCTCCATGATCTTCAGGAGCTGCCTGCAGCTGAACAAGCAAGCGAGAAGCTCCTTATAGAACGAACGTGCTGGAAGGCCACTGCTGCTGCTGCTGTAGCGAAAGCTGTCGCAATTCCTGCGGATCGACACCTGCGACTTGCGGAGTATCGAAGCCTCTTGGTCCAATTTCCGCACCACATTCGTGCCTGAGACAGGCTGCCGTGGCAAAGGCCTCAATGCACTTTCGTCTGTGCTGCTCACCCACTGACCCACCGAAGCAGTGCATTAAGACGTAGCAGCAGTCAGAGCAAAGCAAAGCCAAAGGCACGCCCCCGCGCCTGCCGAATGAACCACAAGTTATGTACCGTGGCTTCCGGTGCTTCTCATTTGTGGTCTGCTTTGTTGTGTGTGGAAGTTGAGTGTGCTCTGGTCCATACACGTACAAGCCGGTGTTTGGCATCAGTTGATCCGTGCATCCACAGCTAGAGCATCTGAGTGATCGGGACACGTGCCACATCTCTCGCAGACTTCTGGGTGCTCGGCTGCTGCAGCGGGCGCAGCCGGTGGGCCTGCGATAAAATGCTGTGAGATAATTACAATCCGAAAGCAAAATGAAACCCCTCAAGCTTGTCCCACCTCTGCCTCAACTTGTGCCTCCACAGATGATGCAGCAGATTCCGGCCTCAGTTGTCCCCACATAGCTACACAAAGAATATTGCAGGCTGGTCATTCTGGTTGAAATGCGACTGAGCAGCCGCCTTTTCCTATACTTTGCCCGCCTTCGAGGTTCTTCATTCCGCACGTCGACCTTAGAAGCAGGTCCGCTCTGCAGCACTTGAGCGGGTCACTGGGGGCGCAGCCTCTTGATCTTCCTGGGGTGGCAAAAATGCCGAGCCTGCCAGATCGGACAAGCTAACTGCTGTGCAACTCACTAACTCAAGGGATTCGCCCGAGGAAGCAGCACATAAGCCGCCCCGGACTCGCTCTTCGGGGAACGGGCTGTATAATACCTGAAACCTCACCAGAAATCCATACAATGAAAACAAAACCCTTTTCTTCCTAAACCTGCAAAACCAGAAATCCAAACTACACCCTAAAGCTGTAAACACGACAAACACTGAACAATAAGTCATAAACAGCGCTACACACAAAGAACCCTAAACTCAACACCCCCACCTCAGAAACCCGAAACCCTACACAAGACCCTGTAGAACCTGCAAAACCTGAAACCCTGAAACACAAATTATCCCGAACCCTTCTTCAAGCGGTCATTCTTGAATGGTGTTGCCTGAATTTTGAATCACGGTGCTTGAGTCGGTTGATCGAATCGTGAGTGCTTCAAAAAATTAACTTCAATTCGCACGTGCTTGAACCGGCGTCTTTGAATTGCAATATCACGTGACGGCTGCTACGCTGCAAGTGACGAAGGCTCAAGGTCAAGGCCTGCCTGGTACCAAGGTGCTGAGGCTGGATCCACCTGACGCATGCAAGCAGCCCGTCGACATCCCCGCAAACACTCGGGAATGAGGCTGGTGCCGTCTCCAGCCACGGATGCGCCAGTCCCAGCATCTCCTCCTGCGAAGTCCCTACGAGCACGTGTTCCACATGCTAACGCTTTTATCACCGCCTAGACGCACGAGGAACACCATAGTGACAAAATGCGCAACAGGCTCACAGGTCTCCTTCAGGTTGCCCAGTGTCGGGTTCTGCCAAAGGGAAGACGCACCACATCAGCGGATTACTCGGATTACTCATGCTCTCGGTAGAGTGCCTTCTTGCGGAAGCTCTGGTGCCGCGGCCACCACCTCCGATATCCGATCCCCGACCCGAGAAGGCTCTCTCGAAAGAGAAGGCAGCCCATGCGCCTCGGAGGCGGCAGAGGGGCCCAGCGTCTCCGCTTCCACGGATTCTGGGCGAATGCCCAGATGTTTGAGGCTGCCTCCACAAGCTCAAGAGGACACCCGTCAATCTGGTGCGGGGACTGAACACATCTGAGGTGGCACACAAGAAAACGGGTGGCCCTTCCAGCCCTTCCAGCCCTTCCTCACCTTCCTCATCACGATATAGCGGTCGGAATCGAACGTCCTCGTGGCAAATGGGAACAGGCAATGTCAGTGTCATTGTCAGACCATGCGGCTTCGGAGGCTTGAAGCAACCCAGTCCGGACAGCGCCCACCAATTTCGATTCGCTGAAAATAGGCAACGTTGGCTTGCAGACCCTGAAGTGATGCCTGGCACGTTGAACGGCACATCGCAAAGCTTCATCATACATCCGTGAAAGATTGGATGCCTTCACCACTTTCAGTGGCTTGTGCGCACGTCCAGAACGACAGAGCTCCTACAGTCCAAGCATGGCGTCTTCCCGACAGCAACAGGCATGGTTGCTTGCAGCACGCTTTCCCACCTTGCCGGTCCATCCTTGTTGAAACTCGCATGCACGGCTGGAGTCCTCGATGTCAGGTGGCGTAGACACGACTGAGGATTCAGTCAGTCGCCCAACGGGCACCGGACGACGAAGTTGATCAGGGCATATCCGAAGTTGTGCCCTGCCTCGAAACAATGACTCTCCTTTTTTTCACGGCGCAGCAGCGGGGCGCAGCAGCCCCGCACCCGGCCTTGTGGTCCCAGGGGCAGTAGAAGAAGTCGAAGTTCCCACGCATCGTTGTCGTCAGGTCCTGCACCAAAGCGGCAAATCTGTGATAACAGCCTGAATTCGTGCAACCCGGGAAATCTCCTCGAACATGGACAGTAGAGCACCTCGCAAGACGCAAATTAAAGCGGTATGTCCAGAAGATGCTGAGCCAGCCTTGTGTCAAATAGGTCGGAACGTTGCTGATAAGTAGCGTTGTGACCTGCTCACATGCAGCACGCGTGGAAGGATGTCAAAAAGGAGGCTCTGACTGCTATCTGGCAGTACTTCGAGCCACGGCCACATGGAGCTTGCCTGCTGAGGGTTCGCGCTGTGAGTGTCGCTTCCCGAACTCCTTAGCAGAAGTCCAAACAGGTGAAGGAGATGAAGCAAGAATGGCACTCAGCATTTCGGCAGATTTCGAGCAGACACAAATGCCTCGTCGGCCGACGTGCTGACGACTTGGCCTCTGGGCTGGCACCTGAAGCACGCCGAGTCTGGCTCGTGCTGCTACAACAAGCGCCTCCAGAGGCGCCTGTGCGTGGACCCGTGGTCGAGCTGGCCGCCTGACAGGGCGGCGGGATCCCCTTCTTCAAACTTCTCTTCAAGCCCAGCACCGAGGCCTGGCCGTTCCCTGGACCTCGGCGACGCTTTTCGCAACGGGACGAGCCCTGTCTCTTTTGTCTAAAGGGGCTCCAGGCCGCTGCTGCTGCTGTCGCTCGTCGCCGGTGGGGAGCCCGTCCCGGTGTGCTCACTCCTTCCGAGCACAGCTTTGTGAATTTTCTAAAGAGAAGAAGCGCAGTGCTGACCGGCCTTGGCACCGCGGTGACGCTGGAGTTCACCGACGCCCAGGAGCTTCCGTCGGAATTCTCGTTCCTGCTCCGAAGTGCAGGGCAGTGCAGGCAAGTGTCGAAGTTTGCAAGCCCGAGCAGAGGCCTCTCGTTGCGTTCGTTCCAAGAAGAACACGGCAGCGATGCCCGACTTCTCGCTTCGGAGCTCTGTGGCTCCACCTCTTGGAAAAAAGGCGCATGGCTGGTGAATGGCAGTGCCAAAGCTGGGCCTCCCCCACTGCGCGGGGTGTTGGGGCAGAACCACCTGCACAAGGAACAGAAAATGCGCGACAGCATGAGAAACTGTTCATTTTGGCGATTCTCAGCCTGTACGACGAACATGTTCTAAGTCTCTAAGTGCGAGGCTATTTTCGTTGCTGGACTGGCCACTGGTGCTTCCGCCGTTGGCGGTTGTGCTGGCACAAGTCGCTTGCGACTCCTTGCAAGGTCGTTGGCCAATGCATTGCGAGCTTGCATGCAACATGCCGACAACCATTCCTGCTGCGAACTGGAGTATGTCTGCGATGGTCGCGCAGTCAAGGAGAAAAGGTCTTTTTGAGGAGACTCCTCCTGCAGGACGCTCTTCCACCTTCACTGACAAACTACCGTTGAAAGCTAAACCCCTGATCGAATCGAAGGGACTTCGCTCAGCTTCTCCTCGATGGATTGACAGGAAGCGGACGGCGCATCCTTGCCAGTGCACACGCTCCAACCTTCCACACAACTTGTACCGGTACACTTCGTACACCTCCAAACAGGCAGAAACGAAAAGCACTCTTACAATACAGCGATGAAAGAACCTTCAACATGGCGTGCTGCTATCCCTGCCAAAAACGACACACACACACACACACACGAGCGCACGAGTGATATCAGAGCGGTCCGTTGCAGGTGGCTGCACAGGACGCAATTCGTCCTGCATGTGTAATTGACATGACCATTTCCAGTGCCGTGCACAGACACACACTGACAAATGCCGAACCAACATGACGTAACATGACTAAAGAAACCGTCCACGGAATGCGCAAAGCGGCACTGGCTTCCATATTTGCACTTGCCTGGCTCAGAAAACATGTCACTCACAAGCCCATAGCGACAGCAGGCGCCTGATTGGGCAAACACACACATCTTCATCTTGAAAAAGCCATGTGTCGAGCGGAGTTCGGACCTGAGTGAACGCCCAAGCCTCTGAAGCTCACGGAACCTCCCGACACGAAGACTCTAATTATACTTCCGTCGACGAAAAGCCCCCGGTCACCTAACGGTCTTTTGCAGCTGAGGACCTTGCTCGGAATGAGCAAATCTACAAGTCTCGTTGTTGCAAACGCCTTCTTTGAGCAGCGTCCTGATGCCACGGCCCAGGTTATCGCTCCACACATATCCAAAGCTCCAAAGCATGCCGCCTGCACATACTGGTTCTGGTGAGGTCTGGCTTTGTCCTGACCTTAGCCGCAAACACACCCCTGTCTTCTCTTCTTCAACCAACACGCCAAAAACAACAAGATGGCATGAAAGCTGGCCTCCGTTGCTTCGTGGGCGTAAGAACAAGAATCTCCATTTTCGCAGCGACCCTCCAAGAAGAACTTGCACATGTCCTGTCGAAATCACGGACGCGTGGGGGGTCACCAAAAGCACGCGTGGAAAAGGAAGGCACATGCTTGGGGGCTGACGGTTTTGAAAAGTTGAGCTGCGTGTCTCCTCCTGTCATGTTCAACCGCACCATCAAACCCCAAGTTGGCTGGACTGAGACATGACGTCCTCATAGATGAATGAACTTGGCGATTCATTGGTTGTTGCGCTCAAGCGCTTTGGGCACAAGCCTCGGAAATCCCACCATTCTATTTGGGATTACGTTCGACAAGTGTTGCACCAAATGTCCAGATTGAGGAGCACACCCGGGTGGCAAAAGCCACCGTTACGGAATCACACATTTCAAATTTGAGCCTGCGAAGGGCCTGAAATCATGTTGGGTCTGCAAATGAAATCTGCGGAAAAAACTCGACTGAGACAAACAAACTACTGTCCGCGAAGGCAAGCAACCAATACCAATGTTGGACCCATTAGGCCATGAAACCACTTTATGACATGCGAAGATTTTCACTCTGTGACCAATTCCCGCAAAAAGCGATGGGACAAAGATCGGAAGAGCAACACACTGACCTGGCACAAACTCGACAGGGCGGATGTCCTTGTGGGGCCGGGCATCGATGACATGGTACCGTTTGAGTTGGATGACGACAACCCCACCATGCGCAACCAGCGCATGAAGCGTATGCTGGTGCGCCCAGCCATCAATTATGAATGGTGTGGGCCGTAAACGGGTAAATTTGAAACTTGCGGCTGTGTACGTGCATGTGCACACATGCATACACATACATATATATATACATATACATATACATGTACATATACATATACATATAGATATACATATACACATACATATAGATATACATA